CGCTGAATCGTTCGGGGAGCTCGAGTATGAGAGAGCCCATGTCCAACGTATATATGGCCGCGAGCGAGAGCACAGATCTACTTTAGACTCTCTTGGTCTCTCGGAGTTGGAGGCCGTCGAATATGTCCTGATGCTCTCGCGCCAAGAGGAAGAGGAGCGTCAGCTGAGAATGGCAAGGGAAGAGGGTGTCTTTGAGGGCGATTTTGATGATCTTCGTGGTACATCGACGTCCTCCCAGTCACAACTATCCATACCATTATCGTCACACGCCTCATCTTCGAGCTCTACTTGTCATTCGCACGGCCGCCAGTATCCCCGCATTGCGCATTCGAGCTCGAACGAGAAAGTACAGGTATCTCCGCCCTTCGTTCCAGAACCTATGGAGGCAGGCACAAGCATCAGTCCGCTAAGATCGCTGGCCACAGGACCAGGAACACCTTGCAATGCGATAACTACGCGTAGCACGTCTTCGTCTTCCCTAGAGGACTTTCCGACGATCAGTTCCAGCCTCTCCTCAACATCCAGCACTAGAGGCATGTCTGCACAGCACTCTGTGTCTAGCAGCCCCGATCGACCTCGTTCAGCATGGAGCACGCCCCTCAAATCCATCCCCCCCTCCCCCTCCCCTAGCCCGTCAGCCCCCCACTCTCGCATCACCACTCCCGTCGTTGCCATGTCTCTCCTAACCGCCGACATTGCACGGAACAGGGAGACATCCACGGTCGAACAGCATTTACTAGATCCGGAAGAGATGGATGATGATTTGAGATTGGCGATTGAATTGAGCCTTGTGGAGGCGCGTAGCAGAGGGGAGGAGGTATGAACGTGACTGAGACTCGTTGGCTATGTCGGTATGAATCGATAGATGGGTCCAAGTATCTTGATATGCCTTTTTTTTTGCCTTTATGATATGACTATCCTCGAACGTACGCTTGGGATTCCGCACGTCGCCCGTTTGCCCTGTTCACGTTGTACGCCCCATCCATACCAACCACCTATTTCGTCTCACACCCGTCCGCCCCATCAAGCTCATCCCACTGGACTCAAATGACATGCTACTAGCATAGAGCTATATGCTTCTTTCTTCGGGCCTTCTTTTTCTCGGAATTCGGTACGATTATGTAGTTAGGTACTGCGACGAACTGGTGGTGCGAGACCGTCAATTTCCTCGTGATCAACTCTTCTTCCAATAACTCCTTGGTCCCTTCCTCAGCCTCAATCAAGTCCGAAAGAGATTGCGTGTAGCTGGAAGGATCAGGGATGTTAGAGAAAGCAGAGGGGCCGGCTTGGGGGGTGGGATGTAACAGCAGTTGATTTTAGCCCTGAGGGCTCTACTTGCGATGAGGAACCTGCCTCCACGGCTAGCGACCCTAATGTGAGTGAAGAGGAGCCGGCGTCATTAATGACTTGCGTATGGTGGACGGTGAGAGGATGGTCCATACCGGTGGCCAGCCCGTCCCTCTCCGCCTCCGCCTTCCGCAACGCAGTACTCAATTCCTGTGTCGCTTTCTTCGGGCTTTCTTTTTCTCAGTCTTGGCTTTCCTCTTGTCCTCCTTCGCCCGCTCCACCGCCTCGATCGAGTCAGAGATAGATTGCGCGGAGCTGACAGGGTGTTCTTTGGAAGGGACATCAGAGACAACGGAGGCGTTGCCTTGGGGGATGGATGCAACAGCAATAGATGTAGACCCTGAGGGCTCTGCTTGCGATGAGAGACCTGCCTCTACCGCTGGCGAACAAGTGGCGAAGAGCCGGCGTCGTTAGTGACTTGCGTGAGTGGATGGTGAGAGGATGGTC